ATTTCCCCTGGCAGGAGATTAGATGGGGTGCCCATTAATCACTCATTACTTGGGTCCTCTACTCCTGGCCAGCCCTCAGGCAGCCCGCCAGCTGGCAGGGAGGGTGGGGCGGGCCCGCCTGCTGCCCAGTTGGGCCCCCGAGCTGCCCAGGGTCACCTTCCTGCATCGAGGGCCCGGCTCTCCGTGCTCTGGACCACGCCCGAGGGGAGAGGGGCCGCAGGAGAATACCACGGAGCATCACTGAAGGGACCCGATTCTGCGGGGCTCACCAGAGGGGACAGAGATGGGTACAGTCCATTCAGTGGGAAGGTGAGGTAGAAAGAGAGGAGATGAGCAGAAAGAGGCCACTCTCCCAGGACAGCTAACCAGCAACAGAGAACATGCTGCCTATCTGTTTCTGAGGTTTTCCCTTGGGGAATCTCAAGGGAACCGGGGAAGGGAGTGGGATGGGGAGAGGATGTTGAATGGATAATTCATTACTATTACTACTACTACTACTACTACTACTACTACTACTAATTACGCAGCACAGGTGTTGATCTGCCATATTTGGACAATTATTCAGACACAAACCCCCTGGACTTGGGGGGCTGAGATTATATGTAGCGCACATACTGAGAGGTGCCTGCCTGCCAGACCCTGACTGGGTACACAGAAGGTGAGAAAAACAGGGTGAGAACAGGCACCCAGCTCCTACTCCATGCTGGACCTCACCCTAATGCTCAGGGGGCCTATGCACCAGTCCCCATACCAGACCCCAGGTGGCTTTTGGCCATCCCTTTGTCACACGTGGCAGAAACTGTGACTTAAGGGCTTATAGAATAAAGGGGATGTGATGCTGATCAGACCCCACTCTGGCAAGGGAGGTGTGACTTACCAGGCCAGGGAAGTGAGGGGCTGGCATGTCGTGTTCCGCCTTATGGGGGGGGTGGTCCCAGCTCATTTTTTACCTCAGAAAACCTGGGGTTCTCGAACCAACCTACCTGATCTTGTTCCCTGAGCCTTGCCCAGGCCAAGAAATATATCCACAAGGAGCCTGGTGGGGGCTGGGTTTGCGTACCTCGCAGAGAGGGGATGGGGCATGTTTACAGGACTGAACGGAAGTTTGCTTTGACTGAAACAGGGCTCTCTGTCTCCGCCTGGCTGGGGTCATGATGCACCATTGCTCACTCCTTAGAGTCAAGGTCAAGGCCTCTGTTAAAAAGGTCACCTAGGTCACCCTGTGACCTAGGATAAAGTGGCTTATCATCTCACCACCTGTCACCAGAACCTCCCTGTGAAGGCAGCCTAAGGCAGTGGTCCTCAAACCAAGCGTGTAGAACAATCAGTTGAGGCAGTCTTTAAACAATGCCAACTCCACCCCGGCGGGCCTCCACCCTGGAATCTGGTGTCTTCCCAGCCGATGCGAATTCGGATTCCGACGTCCCACAGAAAACCACAACCCTTTCAGGGGACAGTGGAAAGAGCACCTAACCAAGAACCAGGTTCTAAGACTGAGGTTCAAAACCTGAGCTGTTGACCTAAGGCAAGTAAGCTGGAGTTTTCTTCCTCGTAAAACGCGGATTATACCGTCTCCCTCACAGGTTGCTGGGAGGATTAAGGCATCCGGCAGAGCACACCCCAGTGCTCACGAAACGTGACCTGAAAGAGTTCATTGGGCCAACGAGGTTCCAGAAACCAGAGAAGTCAGTTCTGAAGGCCTGGAGAGAGAAAAAAAAGGACAACACAGGCCCAGAAGTGAGGAAGGGGTCCCAGCGTCAGCCCACAGGTGCCTCCGAGTGGGAGGGAAGTGGGGGTTCCAAAAGAGGGCAAGAGTCCACGAAGTATCCTCCAGCCAGAGAGCCTCCCCCTTCCCGGCGCCTGCCCGTGTCACACCATAACTTCTGGCCTAACATGGCTCATCACTGTTTTCACAGACAAGAGTCAGTAATATGGCACCCTCTCATCTAAGCAGATGTAAATAACTACCACAATTCTGCACGCACAGAAAAGGAGAGATAAAACGGGGGCGGGGGGGGGAGGTGAGGGAAGAGAAGAAGAGACGGGAAGGAAGCTGGGAAGGAAGCGTCAACAGTCATGCTGTCAAGCCAGCAAGAGCTGGCCTTGGACTGGCACCGGGCTACGCAGCCTGGAAAGGCTCAGGAAGGAGAAGCCCAGGGGCCACTCTGGAGAAACTTCAGGGGCCTGGGAGATGAGGCTGGCCCACCCTGGATGTGTCCAAGCTGTATAAGTAGTAAATGCAAAGGAGGCGGGGGAGGACTTCAGCTGGGTTCAGAGAAGACTGAGATAGGTGTGTGCAAGAGAGGCTGGGGTGTACTTTCTGGCAGAACCGAAATCCTGAGCTGCCGTTAAGCGTGCACACAAGGCCATCATAAAGACACCGGGGACATCAGGGAAGAGGTGGGAGACTCTTAGGTCAGCTCTCTCCAGCCCTTCAAAACGACAGTTCCCACTGCCCAGATGAAGACTGATCCTTGGCCTCGTCTACCATGTCTATACCAGCACATTCATGTCGCTAGGTCTTTGCTCAAGCTCTTCCTCCGTCTGGTATGCCCTCTCTCCTCCCAGCCTTTCCCATCTCCTTGAACTCCTCCTCATGCTGCAAAGCCCAGCTGTAATTGTCCTAGCTCCTCCCGTGCAGGAAAAGACTCTCCCTCATCCCCAAGGTTCTTCATTGTTTCGTGGTTACTTTTTTTTTTTTTTTTTTTAACATCGTTTCCTCTCCCGGGTGGCTATTTATCATGTGTTAGCCTGTCAACAGATCCAGGACATGGATATTGTCCTGTTCTGAGTTTAAGCCTTAGCACATGGTACCAGTCCCTGGGACACAGCAGATGCCCCCAAAATACCAGCTTGACAAGAATGAAACAGAAGTGAATCCTGGGGAGCCATTGTGATTTCTTGAGAGGAATGATGTGGCAAAATCAGAATTTTAGGAATATTAATCTGTCAGCATGAAAGAAGATGGATTGAAATGAGGAAAGTGACTCGTGGCTGGGAGTCAAGAGGGGAGATTATTACTGTAACGTGGACATGGTTTATGGAGGGAGCAGAGGGGAGGGAGACAGGAAAATGATCCCCTGTGATATCACTGAAGAATGTGGAAGGAACTTGGTAATGAACGTGCTATAAATGTGGGGGACGGGATGGGGACATCAAGGGCACTCAAACACTCAGACTGCCAGCCGACTGGAAGGCAAACGGTACCGTGCGGGGGAAATGCCGCATGAGAAGGGGATGGGGGGTTCGTGCCCCACCACTCTTTAGAATAATTGGCTACAATCACAATAAGCATTTCTAGGCAACAAAACAAAACAACCCCTCCCCCCCGAAAAAACTCTCAGTTAAAACATCCAGCCCTGATCTTACTCCCAAACTCCGGAGTGTATTTAATTTTACTCATTTTTCCCCTAGCAGCCAGTTAGAAAGATTTCTTCAGGGTAGGAGATAGTGACAGGGAGATAAAAACCAATCCGAGTGCCCTCTGGGAGTTGGGCGGAGTGGGGGGTCAGGTGAGCTCACCTGACCAGCCCTCCTCTGGAGAGGCCAGCCAGGTGCCTCATTCTGTAGGGCCTCCAGGATTCTGATCACCCGAACCCACTTCCCAGGCCCGGACCTCTGGGAAATCCCTGCTCCAGCACTGCAGAGGGTTATAGGAAAGTCCCAGGACTCTCATCTGCTTCCTCCCATTAATTCCAGGACTAGGATTTTGTTTTCTAAGGAATTCAACTATGGTGCCAACAAAAATCTGTAGGAATTGAGTAGTACCGTATTTAAATTGCGTATTTAAAATGTTTGCTTCCTTGCATATTGAGACCCAGGAAGATCTATTAAGCCCTTTATCAATGAAGCAAAGACAGACGCAGGTAATGCAGGTTTTAAGAGCTGTGTGATCTTTTAAAAATTATAGATTGTTACTGTGCCTTGGTGCCTCCAGCTGCGAGGAAAGTCGGACAAGATGATTCCTTGGACCTCTCTCGGGTCTCCCTCCAGGTCTCCTAGTCCCAATTCCAGTAGGCATCCACAATCATTTCAGCTACCCAGGTCCACGGGGGCACAGAGGAGACTTGAAGAAACGCAAGCATGCACATTTAATAAGCAGCAGGGGAGGCTGGGGGTGGGGTTGGGGGGGCGGGAGGCTGGGTGTGGACTGCTTGGGAAACACCAGACCCACAATTTCCAGACACTAAGTGGGCCTGAGAACGCCCTGAAATCCCCTTCCCAAGTTAGGGCTGATGGTTATTTCAAAGGAAAAAAAAAAAAAAAAAAAACGAACTTCTAGATCTCTGCAGCCCCAGGAGCTAGTTCTGAAACAGCCAGTTCTATAAGCGCGCCAAGGACCGCAGGTAGTTGGGCTGCGCTTGAAGAAGCGGCCGGAGTTGGCGGAAACAACCCATCCACTCCGGCTCCCAGAGGCGCTGGGCTGCAGCGGCGTAGCTCAGACACACACAAGGATTTGAGGCTTTCTAGAAAACGGCGTGGCCGAGGCCCCGGGCCAGGGCTCCTTGCGCGCCAACCGAGAGCGACCAGCTCTCCGGCTCGGGGCAGAACGGAGGCGAGGCTGCGGTCGGGGCGCACGGGCTGGGTGTGCACTCGCCGGTCCCCCTCGGCCCCGGCCCAGGGAACGCGGGGCCCCGACTACGGAACGGCCCAAGTTGGCTGTCCCTAGAGTTTCAGAGGTGGAGGGTGGAGGGGTGAGTGCTGGCGCCGGGACCAGTAAATCCCCAAGGAAAGGAAGGAAGGGAAGCGAAGCGAAAGGAATGGAAGCGAAGGGGAGGAGAGGCGGCACAGCCGTCGGCACGGACCTAGCGCGCGCTGGCTCCCCAAGCCCGGCGTGGGCGCAGCCCCGCGGCGCCCCGGACACACCCACTGCGCCCCACCGCCCGCGCCTTCGAGTCCTGCGGTCCCAGAGCGGGCCCGAGAGGAAGGCAGCGGCCCGGCCGGGTCGGGGCCGCGCGGACGGGGCGCAGGGGGCGCGCGGCGCGGGCGGCTCTGCTCACCTGGCGGTCCGCGTCCCGGATCGGCCGGCGGCCGCCTCGCCTCGCCCCCGCGTGCTTCCCGGCGCCCGGCAGCCCGGAGCACGCCGCATGGACGGCCGCCGCCGCCGCCCCGCGCCCGCCCTGCACGGGCTCCCACTGCGCCCCGCTTAGGCGTCGGGCTAAGCGGGCGGCCAGAGGCTCGGGTGCGCGCGGAAAGCTGTGGCTCGGAGTTTGCGATCGGGAGAACCGGGATCCGCGCTCCTTCGGTCCCTCCTCCCTCCCCCACTCGCGGCCTCCCGCTGTCATCTGGAGCCGCTCCTGTCGCCCCCTGGCGGCCGCCTCGGGAAGGACCGGCCCCCACTCCACCCCCGCGACCCCCGGAGGGGCCCCTCGCAAACAAGAGCGGGACTGAGCCCTGAGTACCGGGACAACGGACATCATCCCATAGAGAGGAGAGCGGTCTAGACGGGAGGGTGGCGAGAGCGGAGTGAAGCGTGGTCCGGATGGGCCAGGACCCGCTGGGGGAGAGGAAAAGGGGCTGAGACCAGAAGGTAAAAGAGGGGCAGATAGTGGAAGGCCTTGAATTACGGGTTCATCTTATCCTGGTTTGTGGGACCCCCTGAATGACTGAGGTCCAAGAGGGGCAGGCGCATCCTTGAGTTCGGAACAGTCATTCCGGCTGCAAAAGGACGGGGCTGAAGCAGGCAGCCGGCAAGGAGAATACCGTTGTAAACCAGAGCAGGGAAGAGGGCAGGGCTGGAAGGGTGGGGAGGGAGGAGCCCTCCTCTAAAGGGCATAGAGGTCACCCTCACTTGCCCACTCAAGTGTAAGGTAAGACTCACTGGGCTCCCAAAGGCAATGGAAAAGGACCAGAGCACTCAAGTTCTCAAGGGGCATGAGGTAGACATGAAACACAGTCCGGAGCATTTCAGCATTGTTTCCTGTCTTAATGCAAGTTACCAGGGCGGGAAGGAAAAAGCCTGCAGCAAACCACCACCACTACCACCACCATCACCATCATCAAACTTTGGTCTGTATATCCAAACCCTTCCTCTTACTAATTGGGCAGTATTGTCCCAGTGAGGGCATGAGTAAAGCTGGTTAAAGGCAGGAAGAGGGCTGGAGCCCCGCTTCTTGGTTCCTAACGCAGTGCTCTATTCCTTACATTCAAACCGATGATTACAGCTGGTGAGGTAGAAGTAGTGAAAATGTGCCCCCTCTCCCAGGAGGGGTGGGATGACCTCAAACATTTGAAGAGGCTGTCCAGCTATAGGCAGTCTCCCTCAGAACGAGTCAGCCTGCTTGTTGATCCTGCCTTTAAAAACTTCTGCTAGATCATTGGAAGGCCATCTGTAGATTAAGTTTGTTATTTGGCAGGGTTTGTTGAAATTGTAAAGTTGGAGCAAACTCTTAGTGGGCACCCATTACTTTGTTAAGTGCTCTAGACACAAAAATAAATAAGCTCTTAAAAAAAAAAAAAAAAAAAAAAAACTTCTGCTAGAGCAGGTACACAGAGGGACCTTGAAGGTGGCTGCAGAGGGCAAGCTCCTGCCCCAGAGCCAGGCTTAGTGGGGATGGGTGTGGTGTGTGCAAGCAGAAAGGGGAGCAATGGGGCAGGGAGCCCCAGGAAAAAAATTAACAAAGAGAAAGTGGCAACCCAAGAGATCAGACTGGAGAAAGAGAACCAACTCTGAGCACCTGCTACTGGCCAGGAGCCTGGGCAGAGCCAGTTCTGACTGATCCACACTGGTTCCAATGGGAGGAAATAACTCCACACATGATCAAACCCATTTTGACTGGAGGCACCTGGTGTTCTCTTTATTTAAAGCCCCAGCGACTTCCTGGAATTAAATTAATCTGGGGGGTCACAGGTCCCATAAGTCCAGATTAAGGGGATCTGACAGCTCTAGTAAATTCTGAGCAGTTTAAAATGATTTAAAATGATAGAACATTTATACAACATTGGAATGTACTGGAATTATGGATTGGGACCCTACCGCCCCATTAGTAAAAGTGAAATGTACTTAGTGTCACTGAATTGTACACCTAAACATGGTGGAAAGGGTCATTTTTATGCACTGCATATTTTACCACAATTTAAACAAAGAAAACAAAACTGATCAAATTTGCTCAAATTGGATGGATTCATTAATTCATTTAAAAGATGTATACTGAGGGCTACAGATGAGATGAGGGAATGTTCCAGTCCAAAAGAAGCTTGGAGTCGGGTGGGAAAGGTGTTGTACAGTCAAGAAATCATACCAGCAGGTGGTGTCATTGGGGGATATACAGCAGTAGCTGAAGACTCCAGGGAGGGGAGCAGGAGTCCAGGATGTTCTGTTTGAGCTGAGCCATCAAGGACAAGGGGAGTTCTTCAGGCAGGGCCTGTTATGAACAGGCCGTAAGAGCAAGGATATGGCTTTTGTAAAAACAAGCTTTAGATTTACGGACAAATTGCAAGAACAGTACAAGGAATTCCCTCGTATCTTCCTCTTCCCTTAACGTCAACATCTTGCAAAACCAAATGCGTTCTTGTTGACCAGACTTGAGCCAGCTGACCTAGGCTGCTGCTTCAGAACCCATTCCGGTCCACTTCAGACGTGGTCAGATTGTAGTGACCGCATTCCGCTGACCTGTCACAAAATGTTCTCTTTATTTATTTCTTATAGACATTTTTAAATTAATTAATTTATTTATTTGAGAAAGGTAGAGAGAACACACTCGAGTTGGGGGAAGGGCAGAAGGAGAGCATCCTCAAGCAGACCCTGCACTGAACATTGAACCCAACGTGGGGCTCCATCCCGGGACCCTGATCATGACCTGAGCCTAAATCAAGAGTCGAATGCTTAACTGACTGAGCCACCCAGGCACCCCAAATGTTCCCTTTATTTAAAGTCAAGGCTATACTGTGAAATCCAATCTCATTTTAAACAAAGAAATATTTACATTATATATAGGCACCAAGGAATATTAATTATGCTACAAGAGCAGTTTTTCATCTTTCAGTCCTATTGTATTTCTACTTTTATCCGAGTGTGTATGTATGTGTAAATCAGACTGACAGGATTTGGTCCTTTCCTATGAGATAAGCTACTAACCCTTACCGACAGAGGGCAAAGAAGAGTAGGCGTCTCAAGTTAGAAGGGGTCATCTAGGGCACCTCGGTGGCTCAGTGGGTTAAAGCCTCTGCCTTCTGCTCAGGTCATGATCCCAGGGTCCTGGGATCGAGCCCCGCATTGGGCTCTCTGCTCAGTGGGGAGCCTGCTTCCTCCTCTATCTCTGCCTGCCTCTCTGCCTACTTGTGATCTCTGTCTGTCAAATAAATAAATAAAATCTTAAAAAAAAAAAAAAAAAAAAGAAGGGGTCATCTAGCCCCAGTGACTTCCTGGCATGCCAGTATCTTCCACATCCGACATCTTGGAGCAGAAGTTGTTAGTGACCCTCTTGCGTATCTGCAACGACAAGGTGCTCACTACCACATAAACTAACTCATACCGTTGTTGGAGGCCCTCTGTTAGAAAGGCCCCTTTTCATTTTGAACTGAAACGATTCCCTGTAACTACTACCCTGACCTCCTGAAATGACAGACAAAAAACGTGACTCTTCAGTCATGTATCAGCTCTGCGATAGGTAGGACAGGCCTAGCCTATACGTGTGGTCTTGGTGTGATTCTCAGTTAATGACTAATAGTGCCCCTTCACTCCATTGGCTGTCTCAGTTGTGATGAGAGACGCTCGGGTCGTCCCTACAGAGGACGGGCACTGCCCCACCCCGCTGAGCGTGCCCCCTGCCTACAGCCGCACCCTGGGTGGTCAGCCATTCCTTCAGCAAAGCACTGGCACATGGGAAAGGCTCCCAAATGCTCCAGGCAGAACAGCCTCCTGCTGAGATCCACTTCCTGGGACTTCAGAGCTTGGGGAACCGGAGTAAGAGCAAAGTATGAACAGATTCCAGGACAGTAACCCAGACAAGCAGACCTTTGTGCGGGCCACGTGTGAGTATAACAGCTTCTGTACTTTACTAATAGGCACCGACCACGAATCCTTTCACCAGCAGAACATTTCTTGGGGCTAGAATTCCAAAAATTACACTTTGAAAAACACTGCTTTACGCTCTTTTTGACAAACACGGGTGTTTTCATCCTAATGGCATTTCAGGGGGCTGTGTCCCGGCAGGGAAGGAAACCCTTGTATTATCCCTCCTTTGTTAACACTGGGAGGTGGGAGGCAAATAGACACATATTCAAACCCCTAATTTCAGGCTCCAGGAGGTTCCAGGATCCATCACAATGCCTATAAAGTTGTTTCTTTTATTTTCTGGGTTGTATACCTTTGCAGACTGTAAAGTCAAGGCAAGCTTGTGCCCAGCAAAAAAATAAGGAAATAAAGGAAACACAAAAACACAACACAACACAACTTGTCATCTGTGGTTTTAAGCTGTTTCTAAGTGCCTCGGAATGGAGGAAGGAGCCTTTCCTCCCCTGCTCGCCTCCTTAAGTCACTCCATTCTCTTCTCCCTCTGGGGGATCTGGGATGTCAGCCTAAAAACCACATCCCAAGTTCTCATGTCCCTGGCCTGGGTCTGCCTCACTACTTGACCTGCAGTCCACAGCCATGCTGTGGGCACCAGCTTGGAGGACAGAAGCAAAATGGCTTCTATATGGCACATCAAGTTTTCCTACCCAGCGTCAGAGTCAACAACCACATTTCAGATGACCTCATTCTTGTTCCCTCTCTCCCTTCGCCCTTATCCCTTCCTGCCCCATGTCTGGTCAGAGGAGATAGGAAACTTCGTGTTACCTGGTACAAGATGACTTTTGGAATCCCAAATATTCAGATTATTTCTCCTTTCCCTCTTGGAGAGTGATAATACTCACAGCTCAAAGGCATCACCCGGACGGAAGCTGCTTCTCTCCAGGAGGGGCAACGCTGAGCAAGAAAGAGAGTGGACCTCACAGCCCCCAGGGTCACGGGTTCCCTCTCTCCTTCTGGCACCGGTCACCTAGATGAAGATAATTACTATTCACGGATGAAAACCACGTGCCAGCTCCTCCTCTCAAAGATGATCGATCATCCTTTAATTCATCCACCTGCCCTATATTGATGGAAGCTGACAATGAATGATTGCAGGGAGGATGAGAAAAGTCAGCCCGAGTAAAAAGAGAAGAGACTGTTCTAGACAGAAGGACGCACATTTGCAAAGGCCCCGGGAGAGGCTTGACACACACAAGGAGCAGAAGGAAGGGGAGTGTGGG